AATCCATGCTAGGTAAGCGCTCTACCACTGAGCCATGACCCCAGCCAGCCTTAGCAAAAGGAGAGCTGAGGGTGGCTGACTGGAAGAGCACACCCCTAGGTTCAATTCCCAGAATGGGAAAAAAAAATGAGCTAATAGGTAAGAAGGATTTAAATGYTCCCCCTTCAGTGACCATACCAAAGGATAATACCAGGGTTCACTTGGGGCTATACCCAACCCTGTCATCCCTATCCCTATCCCCATCCCAATCCAATTCYCATACAAACTACCTTCTGCATTATAGTGGTGGTGAAGGCATCCTTCCCACAGTACCCTGGGCCCTGCAGGGAAGCCACTGCGCCTGCTCTCCAGGACAGCGGTGCAGGGGCCGGGGGTTCAGCTGATACTTGGTGTAGTCCTGGACCTGCCCATGTCAGGTTTCAGGCCTGCTCCCCAAGGGAGAGTAAGTGGGAAGACGGTAAGGCTGAGAGCATYATGTGGGGGCTCAGGGGAGCTGCCTGCGGTCCTGAAACTGACTTCAGAGCCAGAGATGAACAAAGCCCTGAGCCCCTCTGTGTCCTGAGGGAGGAGTTCAGGTTTCAGATTCTGCCTGGGGGATGGGGAGGGGCAGCGGGAAGATGATCTTTCAGGGTAAAGGAAACTGTCTWTGTCCCTTGTCAACACACTCTTGATTGGTTTTGAATACCCAGCAGTTTCATTAGTTCACTGTGAACCCAGCCAGCCTGAGCTCAGACTGGACTCTAGACCTTCAAAGTCACAGAAGAGTTAAGTCAGAGTGTGCTCCTGCCAGAGCAGTCTGTCCTGCAATGGCAGGTGACGAACAGAAGTAGTTTGAAAGCCTGGTGGGAATTGTTCTTGATCATCCTTGCCTTGCTCCAGGTGCTCCAGGGCCAGGGTCACCATGATTCACTTCTGTTTGGCCCACACAGCCTACTACTTGCACTGCTGGCTGCCCAGATCGCATCAGCTCAGACTGTAAGTGTCCCTCCTTACCCACTGTAACAGAATAGAGTTCATTTCTTCTGAGGCAATCTTGAAGTTTAACTAAAACTTACTTTTAATTTTTAAGTCATTGATCTTTTCAAGTTTTAAAAACATTGAGGTGTGAACATTAAAACATTTTATAAACAGTTTTTAAAACATCAACTCTTTCAAAGAAAACAGTGCTGGTCTTGGTTGTGCAGCCTGTAATCCCAGTTCCTCTGGAGGCTGAGGCAGGAGGATCACAAGTTCCTAGCCTCAGCAATTTAGCAAGGCCCTAAGTAATTTAGTGAGATCCTATCTCAAAATAAAAGGGCTTGGGATGTGGTTCAGTGTTAAAGTGCCCCAGGTTTAATCCTCAGTCCAAAAAAAAAAAAAAAAAAATTGGTAACCCTGTGGCTTTTCTTTGTCACATTTTCAGATGCTCAGTATAATTAAACTCATGCTGGCCAATTGTTGAATAATATGATTGACTTGATCATCTCTCAAGATTTACAACCATAAAAGAATAGTATTTCTTTCAAAATAGTAAATTTAAGGGGCTGGGGACA